CCCCCCCCCCCCCCCCCCCTTGTTTCTGTAATGGTTTGAGTTGGGTGTGATTACATTGTACCTGGTATTATTCGTTGCTATTTGTCCTCCCTTTGTTTCTGTAATGGGTTGAGGTTGGTGTGATAACATTGTACCTGGTATTGTGCGTTGCTATTTGTCCTCCCTTTGTTTCTGTAATGGTGTGTGGTGGGTGTGATAACATTGTACCTGGTATTGTTCGTTGCTATTTGTCCTCTCTTTGTTTCTGTAATGGTTTGAGGTGGGTGTGATTACATTGTACCTGGTATTATTCGTTGCTATTTGTCCCCCCTTTGTTTCTGTAATGGGTTGAGGTTGGTGTGATAACATTGTCCCTGGTATTGTGCGTTGCTATTTGTCCTCCCTTTGTTTCTGTAATGGTTTGAGGTTGGTGTGATAACATTGTACCTGGTATTGTTCGTTGCTACTTGTCCTCCCTTTGTTTCTGTAATGGTTTGAGTTGGGTATGATAACATTGTACCTGGTATTGTTCGTTGCTACTTGTCCTCCCTTTGTTTCTGTAATGGTTTGAGGTGGGTGTGATTACATTGTACCTGGTATTATTCGTTGCTATTTGTCCCCCCTTTGTTTCTGTAATGGGTTGAGGTTGGTGTGATAACATTGTCCCTGGTATTGTGCGTTGCTATTTGTCCTCCCTTTGTTTCTGTAATGGTTTGAGTTGGGTGTGATTACATTGTACCTGATATTATTCGTTGCTATTTGTCCTCCCTTTGTTTCTGTAATGGTTTGAGTTGGGTGTGATTACATTGTACCTGATATTATTCGTTGCTATTTGTCCTCCCTTTGTTTCTGTAATGGTGTGTGGTGGGTGTGATAACATTGTGCCTGGTACTGTTCGTTGCTATTTGTCCTCCCTTTGTTTCTGTAATGGTTTGAGGTTGGTGTGATAACATTGTACCTGGTATTATGCGTTGCTATTTGTCCTCCCTTTGTTTCTGTAATGGTTTGAGTTGGGTATGATAACATTGTACCTGGTATTGTTCGTTGCTACTTGTCCTCCCTTTGTTTCTGTAATGGTTTGAGGTTGGTGTGATAACATTGTACCTGGTATTATGCGTTGCTATTTGTCCTCCCTTTGTTTCTGTAATGGTTTGAGTTGGGTATGATAACATTGTACCTGGTATTGTTCGTTGCTACTTGTCCTCCCTTTGTTTCTGTAATGGTTTGAGTTGGGTGTGATTACATTGTACCTGGTATTATTCGTTGCTATTTGTCCCCCCTTTGTTTCTGTAATGGGTTGAGGTTGGTGTGATAACATTGTACCTGTATTGTGCGTTGCTATTTGTCCTCCCTTTGTTTCTGTAATGGTTTGAGGGGGGTGTGATAACATTGTACCTGGTATTGTTCGTTGCTACTTGTCCTCCCTTTGTTTCTGTAATGGTTTGAGGTGGGTTTGACTACATTGTACCTGGTATTGTTCGTTGCTATTTGTCCCTTTGGTCTCAGTGCAGATGTGGCCATGTTGAATAAAAAAAATCAACACATGTTTGAACTTTGAAATAATTTCCTGAACATTGTAATTTTTATAGCTAACCTAACAATACATTTTAATCATCATTTCAGCGGTTGGACTTCAAATTGACAGACATGCAAGCTAAATTATCTGACGGGCAGCGACCCTTACCATTGATGACCTGTGTTAATGTCAAGATGGACAGATCTGCCCGGAGCTTTCAGGGTAAATAGTGAAATTTCACGTGCTGCACTCACAAAAACTGGATATTTTCTTATAGAGCTTGACTAGCGATGAAACTAAGTAACCCATATATCAGTCAGCAGGTGTGTAAAGCTTGCCAACAGACGTTAAATTAATGGTTTGAAAAATATGAGTTTATTTCTGTTTTAATAAAATCAATACGAAAATTTATAAGATCCAAGTTTTACCAGAGTGGTTCGTGAAGCCAATACACTTGTTCATAACAGATTCATGAGCTTTGTTGTCGAAGCATCATTCGACAAATTTCTGTGATCGTGTGTAAAGTCTAGTTAGCTTCACGATATGTTCCGTCTGGTCATATGCATGTTAGATACCTTTAAAATCCCAAATTAAAACATGCAATACATGTTTTCATCCCTTTTTTAACAGAATGGGTGGAATTCACCCCGTTTGAGATAGGGATGCCAAAATACGGAACATTTATGAAAACCGATATGTTTGGTTGCAAGTTCTTTATGGGAAAACTTGCCAAGAAATTTCCTGAGCCCCCACTTCACTTCCTCCAAGGTAAGTCCGTTCTCTGTAACCAGTTACAAAGTATCTGCTATAGGTGTGTATATCCACCTCTACAATTGTTTGTGTTCTATCCAAAATATAATTATAAAACATCAATTTTGTTTCTTTTAAAGGTTACAGTGGAATTTGATGTTTTAATACATTCTGATTTATAGGTATATGGGGCAGTGCCTTTTGTATCCTCTTCAAGCGGTTACTGGATGATAACAGGAAGCTTGACCCAGTTGAGATGATTCGTCAGGAAATGGGTAATTAACCATTGTAACCTTATACAGAGATGCTCTTTGTGTAACGCTGCACGCCAGGCATCGTTGTACACCTATTATACAGTACTTCCGATTACAAACGTGGATACTGAGGCGATCTGATACGGTTGACATATCAGTGATTGTATATTTAAATTATATCCTGTAGTTTTACATGAAAAGCAATAATATAAGCAAATGTCACTCTAAGTCCCAATATCTCGGCCTACTGGCCTACTTCAATGGCGAATGTCAACGATACTTTCCAGTAACGTCCATCTTGCTTATTCGGAGGTAAAGGGAATGTTAATACATTATAACAGTGGAATTTAGAAAAATGCAATTAAAGTGCTAAATGTATCAGTAAAGTATTAAATAAAAGAAGGTTTGCTTCTTTAGTTGCTGGATTTAATATGTCTATAAAAGGAAGCACTAAATCCAACTTGTATTCCCATTGGTATTGTAGTCAAACAAATCGAGGTGAATCAGGAGGACGAGAGCAGCGACAGTAGTGAAGACGAGGAAGAAGACGAGACCCCGGACGAGGTGAAAAATCGACGGGACGCGGCTCAACGTAACCGTTTCTCATTCAGTGAGGAGGCACAGAAGAAACTAGCGATGCAGAATGGGAATGGACCTCATCGTCAATCCGATGCAAAGATCAATCGAAAACAGACTGTCCGGCGCACAAAGCAAAAAAGTTACTGGCAATCTTTCCTCAGCGGAATTCTCGAGTAAGTTAAAAAGAACGTAATGGAATAAAATGTTTCTAATATTCTGTCCAAGTTTAGCAACAGAATTTTGTACAGCATAATAAAATGCACATAATTTTAAAACAAACAAAAAATACATATAATCCTGTGAGCTAATGGTCGTATTACTGTCAGTATCACACAATGTATCAGAATTCAATAGTAAATGTTTTAATATAAACTTTAGCTTGCATTAAAGAAATTGTAATTATAATGGTAGTTGTCTTACCTTAAAAAATCTATATAAATGGTTTATTTTTATCTGATATTTCTTGACCTCAATCAATCTGGAGCAGCGATAAATATGACTCGACTTTTCTATCCGCAACAGGGATGCCTATTGAATATCTCTGACATGGCAAGTTTATGTCTGTTGCCTAGCTCTTATAGCAGTGATGTCACTCATTGCTTATTTTATTAATCTGTAAAAACCTGTTGTTATTGTGTTGTAGCAAAAAGGTTGAGTTACTCAATACTCGAGCCGGGCGTGCAGGAGTTGTGCACAACTTCATGAGAGGTCTTTCACTTCAGCAGACATTCCCATTATCTCCCTTTACACCCAGTGACGGCGGTATGGAAACTCGAGTCAGTGGTAAGTAAATACAGAGTATCATCAGATAATGCAGTCTCTCTGAACTAACTGCTCAGCTATTTATCAGCTATTCTGATATAATCGCAAAATACCTTTGCCATTAACCAACTCTCTGACAAACGTTAAATTCCACAGGCGCTGGATAAACATCAAGCTAATTTTTATTATTATAGTGTAATGTTACGCATTGTTTTCACAAATTGGCATAATGGTTACCTATCAAACCAATGCCTATGATTGACATTTATGTTATTACTTCATTTGTGGGTTTTTTTCAATGAATGTATCAATGAATTCACAGATGACTTCAGTGGTTTGCTGGAGATGCACCCAACCAACGTGAAACACCTGTACATGGTAGACGCCGGCCTTACCTTCAACTCGCCTTTCCCTCTTGTCCTCCGTCCACAGAGATGTTGTAATATCATTTTGTCCTTCGACTTTAGTGCCAGACCAGGGGACTCAACCCGTCCATTCAAGGTAAACTTCCTACGTGATGACAACTATGTGAAACATTTAATGCCTTCGCTGAAGAGGATTAAGACAAATAAATATGGATATTGACAGAAAACGACCACTTATTTCTCATCTAGTTATGAAGACATTGATAACAAAGTGGTGTTAAATTACTTTATAGAGAATTTGTTAAGGCAGGATTTTTAAAGTTCTTTTAGCTGATTACGAAATATTTTGGAAGAAGACTCGTTACTTATTTTCGCAGAAGACGTGTAAGTTTTTTTTGCAGAAGACTAATATAGGTTTATCAACGATTTGTTTAATATTATTAAACCTACTAAAAATTCAATTTAAATCTATTACTCAAGATAGCAAATTGTGTTACGAAACCCTCCTATGAGGTCCGTTAATCAGGAATGTGAGAGAAACTGATCACAGTATAATTGTATCGTATTTAGTCCATACACTCTCAGGTCGAACTCTAGCTCGAGGATAGTCCATTACTGTGTGTAACACTTACGTTTGCAGTATTGTCTGTCAGATATTTACAGCCTGGCCACGTGACATCTCTCCTCCCATCAGTGATTTGAAATTCATAATAGAAATTATTTAATATGCATAACACTGTAATAGATTTATAGATATATAAGATAATAAATGTATGAAATAGATACATAACAGAAATGCCAAAATAAGAACTGAAATGGTTGGACCATATTTAGTTAAATCGAAAATCTAAAAACTGTATATGTTTTGTTTTTGTAATTTGTAGGAGCTTCTGTTAGCGGAAAAATGGGCCAAACTAAATAAACTTTCCTTCCCGCCGATCGACCAAACAGTGTTTGACAGAGAAGGCATGAAAGAACTCTACATCTTCCGACATCCGGACGATCCGTACTGTCCAGTCGTCCTCCACTTTGTCCTTGTCAACATCGAGTTTAGGAAATTCCTCAGTCCAGGTAAAGGCAACATACTTTCTAACGTCAGTTTTATTTTCAATTCCTGTTATGTTTTTATTGTCATAGCAACTGTCAATTTGATTCGTCTGATTTATTTGAAATAATGATAAAGGCTTCTTTTTTTTAAATAATACTCCTTTTCATCATTTTATTTAAATCAAGATGTTCGTCTTTAAAATGTTACTTTGTTTGTTACATTGTAGGCGTACCAAGAGTCACAGAGGAAGAACTTGAATTCGCAAACTTCGACATATTTGATGACCCATCAACACCGTATTCAACGTTCAATTTTAAATATTCTCATGACGCGTTCGAAAAGTTGTCGAAGCTTACAGAATTCAACACGTTACTTCACATCGAGGAAATAAAGGCTGTAATGGCAGAGCAAGTTATCAAAAAGAGAGAAAATCCTACTAAATTGCCATGCTCATTAAAGGAAGTGAACAACTTGCGTCGTGTCAGTGTGAAAAACAGGCAGAGGCTTAGCCGATACCTGTCGCAATTAGGAACGAGGCGTTCACGTGTAACCAGTGCAGGAGATGTCCTCTCCAGTAGTGGTGGCTCCCCGTCTAGTCCTAGCCCGCACGTTAACCTGGCCAAGTCTGAAAACGAGGCCGGATTCCGTAGAAATGTGCCGGAAAGGAAACCCATGGTCAAGAGCAAACGAAAGCTTGCGAATACGCGACGCAATGAATTCGCAACACTAGGAGGACTAACTTCTCCTATGGAAGACGATGAATATGACGGCGGTCCCAAAGATGCAACGCTAAGGGGAAAGCCAGGACGACTAGCGAAAATAAACACTAAGGTGGAGGGCGAGGAACAGTGGGAAGATGCTACATGTGATTCCATTGACGAGGATAGCGAAGACGATCAGTTTTACTCTGTGAGGTCAGAACCTCTCTGATGGTCCTATTGGAATTGTTCAACTACCTACAATCGTTCATTGAACAAACCAGTTCGGTGTTTTCTCAAAACACATCGCAAATGTTTGAGCTCCGAGCATGTGCGGTTGTTTTACCGTAACAAGTGTTTGGCCAGGCATGCAGAGTTTGTGGTTCTCTTCGACTCAACATGTTAAACGTGTTTGAGAGGATTGAGTTCATCACAAATCAAATCACAGCAGGATCGATTAAAAGTGAGGTCTCAGTTCGGTGGTTGTTGGTTATCATGTTTATCTAACTTAGTTTGTTAATTTTGAAATTGAATTTATATGATTTCAGACTCAACTAAAGAGTTGGATAAACATAATATTCAGCCATCACGAGTTTCGAGGACTTTTCACCCATAACGTTCGTGTTATGTATGGCAAACCATATGTATTCTTGGAAATAAATGGTTCCTGTCTCCGATCGAGAAGATGTGCTATGAATCATGACGTCACAATCAAAGATGCCAGTACAAAGCATTGTTATGTGACGACGACACCATGACCAGGTCGGTACCGACATGTTGGAATCCATCAATATTTCCCAACTCCTTTCATGTTGATCCAATGCTTCCGGAGTAGCGATACAGTGGTTACGAGAGAAACAGTTTTACGACGAAGACTGGGAATGTCGCAGAGTAAAACATAGATATCAGTTCCATTGAGGATACATTGTTCATACTCAGTTGAATATTTGTGTTTGTGATGAAGATGTTAAATTATCTTGTTTAAAAGGGACCACGTAAAGCGACATTAAGGCGAGGTCTGGGAACAGAAACCTGCCGATGTATTAAATATATTTTCAATGGATGTATATTTAAATATTGCCACTTTGGTTAAAGGAACATTAAACACCTATATAATTGTACTGTTATCAAGTAGGGTCAATTTGATGTGATCTTGGTGCCCAATAAGGATACCAAATGATCATGTTGCTCCATTTTTATTTTTTATGTAACATCATCATTGTCATTGTTTAACTGTCGCAAGATTCATATTGATTATATTTTCATTTTTGTCACCAATATAACGATAGTGCATGGTGGATCTAATAAAACATCTCTTGTGCATATTGAAATTATCAAACAAGACACAAAGTATGGTCTGTTTCAAAATGAAGACTGTTTGAGAAGTCCAGACATAAGTTGTCTTGTAGTCTGCTTTTATATTTGGATAATAGGCAGTGCGAGAATTGAAGTTCGTTTTTCTGAGATTAACTAGTCAACTTGTGATTTTATATATGGATACGGAAATCAATAAAATTGTTCGATCTTATAGATAAAAAGTCTACAAGAACAACGAACAAAATAAAGATTGATACAGAATGTTTTCGAGAAATAATTGCATCAGTAAAAACTCGAGACCTTTTAAAAAGAGAGACGTGCTGTGAGTTACATGAGTATGTATGTACAGGATTGTGAGTTCATGGATTAACACTTATGTCATGTCAGATAGAGAAATAGTTATGTATGCCACTGTGAGGTTGATAATATGTATGTAGTTTTGAGTAGAGCAATGTGTGTATTTGTAAGTGAAGGGAATCATTACGATCATAGAAGTATGAATTGTAGAGTTTAACGTCATTTCATTTAATCAGTGTTCAGATAAAGAATTGATTACATGTATTATAAGAAATTATGCCCAACAATTCGGAAAGCATTGAAGAGAGGATATATGTGTGTCACGTAAAAGAGAGAAATACAAATGGCAAGACTATCTAATTAAGTTATTACTGTGTACGTCAAAGAGAAAATCTATTTTATTGTACTTGTTCTGAAATAAAATGTGTTTATATAACGCGTTCTTATAATATGACTTCAATCTGTTAAAAAATATATCACTAATCACAAACTATACCATATGGTTCATGGGGCTTGCAGTAAACATCAGATGTTTATTGGAAATAGAAAGGGAGGCAACTCGCCATAATATCGAATAATGAGATTAATCGGACAAGTACTGTAAGTACAATCTTACGGAGGTGAGTTTTCAAATATATCATTTTGTCTTAAAGGTGAATATCAATATTTCCTACATCTTCATTAGTTCGCTAGGACAAGCATTCTCTAATCTGACGATATTTAGCCACGTTCAGTGTAAAGTTCGCTAATCTTCATTACTTAAAGCTTTACAGCTCATCATAACAGGGGTCAGTACCGCAGTGAATAAACAGTGAATGTCAACAAAAAAACTAAAATTGCCTAAAGTACTTCAAATAGTTACTAAAGCAGTCCAAATTGGGATATATAAATTACACTCATCTAAAAAGCGTACTTTAGATGCAAAACTTCCCCATTGATTTCCTACAGTTATTCTAAATTCATTGCTTTCAAACTTTTCAACTAACAAGCAAACGCTACAGCAGCTGAATTTAGAATAACTGCTTCAGTAAGTCTCTGCTCCACGTCCCCATACTACATAGTACGGCTTGAGTCCCCATACTACATAGTATGGGGACTCAAGTCGTTATATGTAGTATGGGGACCCAAGTCGTACTATGTAGTATGGGGCCTCAAGTCGTACTATGGAGCATGGGGACTCAACACGTACTATGTAGTATGGGGCCTAAAGCCGTACTATGTAGTAGGGGGACTCAAGCCGTACTGTAGTATGGGGGCTCAAGTCGTATTATGTAGTATTGGGACTAAAGTCGTACTATGTAGTATGGGGGCACAAGTCGTACTATGGAGTATGGGGACTCAAGTCGAACTATGTAGTATGGGGACTCAATCCGTACTATGTAGTATGGGGCCTCAAGTCGTTATTTGTAGTTTGGGGACTCAAGTCGTACTATGGAGCATGGGGACTCAAACCGTACTATGTAGTATGGGGCCTCAAGTCGTTATTTGTAGTTTGGGGACTCAAGCCGTACTCTGTAGTATGGGGCCTCAAGTCGTTATTTGTAGTTTGGGGACTCAAGTCGTACTATGGAGCATGGGGACTCAAACCGTACTATGTAGTATGGGGCCGTGGAGCAGAGACTTACTGAATTTAGAATAACTGCTTCAGTAGTCTCTGCTCCACGTCCCCATACTACATAGTACTGCTTGAGTCCCCCTACTACATAGTACGGCTTTAGTCCCCCTACTACATAGTACGGCTTTAGTCCCCCTACTACATATAACGACTTGAGTCCCAATACTACATAGTACGACTTGAGTCCCAATACTACATAATACGACTTGAGTCCCCATACTACATAGTACTGCTTGAGTCCCCATACTACATAGTATGGGGACTCAAGCCGTACTCTGTAGTATGGGGACTAAAGTCGTACTATGTAGTAGGGGGCCTCAATCCGTACTATGTAGTATGGGGCCTCAAGGAGTATTATGTAGTATGGGGACTGAAGTCGTATTATGTAGTATTGGGACTCAAGCCGTACTGTAGTATGTGGGCTCAAGTCGTATTATGTATTAGGGGGCCTCAAGTCGTACTATGTAGGATGGGGACTCAAGTCGGATTATGTAGTAGGGGGATTCAAGTCGTATTATGTATTAGGGGGCCTCAAGTCGTACTATGTAGTATCGGGACTCAAGCCGTACTCTGTAGTATGGGGCCTCAAGTCGTACTATGAAGTATGGGGACTCAAGTCGGAATATTTAGGATGGGGACTCAAGTCGGATTATGTAGTAGGGGGATTCAAGTCGTATTATGTAGTATTGGGACTCAAGCCGTACTGCAGTATGGGGACTCAAGTCGGATTATGTAGTATGGGGACTGAAGTCGTATTATGTAGTATTGGGTCTCAAGTCGTACTATGTAGGATGGGGACTCAAGCAGTACTATGTAGTAGGGCGTCTCAAACCGTACTCCCATACAACATAGTACGACTTGAGACCCCCTACTACATAGTACGGCTTGGGTCCCCATACTACATAGAACGGCTTGAGTCCACATACTACATAGTACGGTTTGAGTCCCCATACTTCATGGTACGACTTTAGTCCCCCTACTACAGTACGGCTTTAGTCCCCATAATACATAGTACGGCTTGAGTCCACATACTACATAGTACGGTTTGAGTCCCCATACTTCATAGTACGACTTGAGTTCCCATACTACATAGTACGGCGTTAGTCCCCATACTACAGTTTGGCTTTAGTCCCCATACTACATAATCCGGCTTGAGTCCCCATACTGCAGTACGGCTTGAGTCCCCACACTACATAGTACGGGTTGAGTCCCCCTACTACATAGTACGGCTTGGGTCCCCATACTACATAGAACGGCTTGAGTCCACATACTACATAGTACGGATTGAGGCCCCCTACTACATAGTACGGCTTGAGTCCACATACTACATAGTACGGCTTGAGGCCCCACCCTACATAGTACGGCTTTAGTCCACATACTTCATGGTACAACTTGTGCCCCCACACTACATAGTACGGCTTTAGTCCACATACTTCATGGTACAACTTGTGCCCCCACACTACATAGTACGGATTGAGGCCCCCTACTACATAGTACGGCTTGGGGCCCCATACTACAGTACGGCTTTAGTCCCCATAATACATAGTACGGCTTGAGTCCACATACTACATAGTACGGCTTGAGTCCACATACTACATAGTACGGCGTTAGTCCCCATACTACAGAAAGGCTTGAGTCCCCACACTACATAGTACGGGTTGAGGCGCCATACTACATAGTACGGTTTGAGGCCCCATACTACATATAACGACTTGAATCCCAATACTACATAGTACTACTTGAGTCCCCATACTTCATAGTACAACTTGAGGCCCCACACTACATAGTACGGCATGAGTCCCCATACTACACAGTACGGTTTGAGTCCCCATGCTACATAGCACGACATGAGTCCCCATACTACAGTAGGGCTTTAGGCCCCACACTACATAGTACGGCATGAGTCCCCATACTACACAGTACGGTTTGAGTCCCCATGCTACATAGCACGACATGAGTCCCCATACTACACAGTACGGTTTGAGTCCCCATACTTCATGGTACGACTTGAGTCCCCCTACTACAGTACGGCTTTAGTCCCCCCACTACATAGTACGGCTTTAGGCCCCCTACCACATAGTACGGGTTGAGACGCCATACTACATAGGACTGCTTGAGTCCCCATACTGCAGTACGGCTTGAGTCCCCACACTACAGAGTACGGCTTGAGTCCCCCTACTACAGTACGGCTTTAGGCCCCCTACCACATAGTACGGGTTGAGGCGCCATACTACATAGTACGGTTTGAGTCCCCATACTTCCTGGTACGACTTGAGGCCCCCTAATACATAATACGACTTGAGGCCCCACACTACATAGTACGGCATGAGTCCCCATACTACAGTAGGGCTTTAGGCCCCACACTACATAGTACGGCATGAGTCCCCATACTACATAGAACGGCTTGAGTCCACATACTACATAGTACGGTTTGAGTCCCCATGCTCCATAGTACGACTTGAGTCACCATACTACATAGTACGGGTTGAGGCGCCATACTACATAGTACGGCGTTAGTCCCCATACTACAGGACGGCTTGAGGCCCCACACTACATAGTACGGATTGAGTCGCCATACTACATAATACGACTTGAATCCCCCTACTACATAATAAGACTTGAGTCCCCACACTACATAGTACGGATTGAGTCGCCATACTACATAGTACGGTTTGAGGCCCCATACTACATAATACGCCTTGAGTCCCCATACTATGTAGTATGGGGTCTCAAGCCGTATTATGTAGTGGGGGGCTTCAAGCCGTACTGTAGTAGGGGGACTAAAGTCGTACTATGTAGTACGGGGACTCAAGTCGTATTAGGTAGTATTGGGACTCAAGCCGTACTGCAGTATGGGGACTCAAGCAGTCCTATGTAGTATGGCGTCTCAAACCGTACTCCCATACAACATAGTACGACTTGAGACCCCCTACTACATAGTACGGCTTTAGTCCCCATAATACATAATACGACTTGAATCCCCCTACTACATAATACGACTTCAGTCCCCATACTACATAGCACGACTTGAGTCCCCATAATACATAGTACGGCTTGAGTACCCATACTACATAGTACGGTTTGAGTCCCCATACTTCATAGTACGACTTGAGTTCCCATACTACATAGTACGGCTTGGGTCCCCATACTACATAGCCCATACTACATAGTACGGCTTGAGTACCCATACTACATAGTACGGTTTGAGTCCCCATACTACAGTTCGGCTTTAGTCCCCATAATACATAGTACGGCTTGAGTCCACATACTTCATGGGACGACTTGAGTCCCCACACAACATAGTACGGCTTTGGACCCCCTACTACATAGTACGGCTTGAGGCCCCACACTACATAGTACGGCATGAGTCCCCATACTACACAGTACGGTTTGAGTCCCCATGCTACATAGCACGACATGAGTCCCCATACTACAGTTCGGCTTGAGTCCCCATACTACATAGTACGGTTTGAGACG